TGACTACTTATGATTCTGTAATACTTTATTACGTTCACCGAAAAATAATTAAAATGATTAAACTTCTGAAAATAGTCAGAAACTATATATAAATATATCACCATAATTTTCTGTGGTTGACACCGATTGTTACAAATAAATTAAATGTTCAGGTAAAAAAATATGAAATACGGAGAGTGTATACAAACGTCCTTATGTGTGTTAGTCTAGCTGCTAGTTTAACAGGCTGGCTACGCTGTTTCGGTCCTGTCTCTTATGATCTAACTATACTTTCGAATCAGAACCCGCGCAGATATTTAGCTGTTCTTAGAGATATTGCAGAGTCTTTGATATCTTTAGAGGCTCTGTCCGTATGTTTCATAACTCCTGATGATGATTAAACTTTACAGTTACTAAATCATTTAATTCTTTAAATAATATTAGAAGTTACAATATCAAGAAAGATAGATTTTAAACAGGAATTCGGATTTTTATTAATAATGTAAAAAAATATGTGCGTCAAACTTTCAGCCTAAAATTATCAAATCATTTAATTCTACAAGTAATATCAAAAGATAATGTCATAAAGGAGAGAAAGATGATAAAGAGAAATTTATTTGTTATTTTTTTAGTTTGAAAACAGAAGATTGTGTGTTAAACGTTCAGGATTTTAGAAGTTACATGACTACTTCCTTTTCGAAAACAAATTGACATTCAGCAAATTTCAAATAGATCATTCTCTCATTCAGATAATTATTCTGGATTTTAAGTAAGAGGTATAATCCGAAAAAATCTATTCGTGGCAAGAAGTCCTCCCACGGGTCAGCGGTAAGTAAACGTACTTATAACACTAAATATCTCGAGGTAGAACGCGAATGGATGACCCATTGTGTAGCTTTGTGCTACAAAAACAGCAAACTAATAAGCAAGAAACGTTTTTAAATAAAAAGCGTAACTGAATTTACTCCATTTTGTACTATATTTTAATGCTATAGTTTTTATATATAGGAGTACTTGCTTGCTGATTAGGAAATTAATTTTGTGAGGAGTTTCTTTTTATGAACATTTAAATTCTTCAACGTCTTAAATGTAGTTAAATAGTTTTTCACCATTCTCACAGTGAGCTCATTCAAAACATTGTCGAATGAAATCTAGATAATATTTGACATAAAACTTGACTTTGTCATTTTAATAATTAGTTATGTTGGTAAAGAAGCTTTGATTGCTACGTAGTTCACAATAGATGGCGCTGTTGGACTTGTTTTGTTTAAAACTACTTGAATAATTGAAAGTTTGGTACAGGTACAGTTAGCTGACATATTTAAAATTAGCTTCCTTAAATTGGAATTTTTTAAATATGTCATAAAGTATTTGTGATTACACGTAAAAAAAAAGACGTTTAAAATACACTGTTATGTCTGTTACAGGTAAAAATCATCACAGTTATTTCACAAATGTAAATCACCATGACTAATTTATGAAGAAAAGCACCAAATATTCATATCTACAAGTAATAACAAATTTTGTTCTGTATTCTCCTTTATCAATTAACGTTCCTAGGTTGTTGTTGTTGTTTTGCATTATTATTCGTTTTACATTCGTTCGCTGATTATTTTCGAAGTAATTATATAACTAATCAAACAGTTATTATTTATAAAACAAATCCGGCTTATAAACGTATTTTAACTCCAACTTAATGATCTTTGACTACAACTTGTAGCAGTAGTTACACAGAGTTGTATGGTCTTTTGATTGAACATCTTCAGTGGTCAACTGCAGCCTGTATTTATAGATCAGATGAAGTGATTTAACATATTACAGAGATTAACAAAATACCTTATATTACTTGAATGTTTATATATTAGTATAAGAATATATATATCATGATGTGTAACCTTAATAATCTTTGCAGTTTTTTTAAGGGAGCTCCCAAATACAATGTTACTTCATTTATTTTACATTCCTTTCGTTTAAGCTTCAACACACATACTCTTACAGTAAAATGAATACCACTAACAATTAATTTCTATTAAAAATCTATGACTCTCCCCATGGCTCGGCGCTATGTTTACGAGCTTATGGAGCTAGAAAATCGGGTTTCGATACCCGTATTGGGCGGAGCACAGATAGCCCATTATGTATCTGTGTGCTTAATAACAACCAAACCAAGCCTAAAAATCTATGTATTTTGGTAGAAGATTAGTATGTTCATGAGTCATCAGAAGAGAGATACAGACTGATTTGCTAAGTTCTCACTTCCTGCTTCAATGAAAAGAAACTTTTAATGTATGATTTTAAAGTTCACTACATTTAACACTCTTCCCAATTTACAAAGTGTAAAATCTGAAAGACTGTATGAAGAAACACACAGATCATTATGTTCCTTTTTTTTCAATAAGGGCCAAAACTTATAGAAAAACAACAATGAATTTTACAAGGTCTAATAATAGCTTTGAAACTATGCTTTTCTAAAAGTTATGGCATTCATTCTATTTTCAGCCCCCCCCCCTAGCGGTTATAACTATAATTTATCTTTAATGTATAGTTGTTTGTTCGCGTATCTGTTATGCCCAACTTAACTATATTTGTTAAAACTGTATCACAAATGAATTAATAATGTGGTTAGTGTAATTTAATAAACGCCACTGATATTTTAGATAATTATTTATTGAAGTAATAAATAACGTAAAAGCCCTAACCCATATCTCCGACATGCATTCTGTCATGTCGGTTTCTGTAGCCCCCAAAATGACATAAATTGAAAGTATCGTATAATTCTTTGGAAGAACCTGATGATGAAAACTTTGTTGTTAGATTCAAAGACAAGACACATATTTGAATAATCTAATGTTACATAAAATAACACGTAGTTATATGCTTTGTTCAGAAACCAATATGTGCATGAATAACTACGACTTAAATGCCCATAACTATATTTTAAAAGGTGAAACATTCAAACTAAAAAACTATATTTAAAGAAATAGTAGGATTTAAGGATGCGCATAGTAGGAATTAAAGATGTTAAAATGGGTTTAAATATGCACAAAGTGTGTCAACAGTATGGTACAAAAAATGTTAACAATAGGATTCAAAGATGTAAACAATAGAGTTTAAAGACGTTAACAGTATGAATCAAAGTTGTAAACAGTAAGACTTAAAGATGTTAGCAATACAATTCAAAGATGTAAGCTGTAGGATATGTAATTGTAAAAAAATCTTAACTTTTAACCTCATTTAAATATCTAAACAGGTTGATAGAAAAGGGTATTCCAAGATTTTTTGATAATGTTGTAAAAACTGTGAATTAAATATTCAACTAAAGCTGCATGCAAAATATTTCAAAGACGAATTAAGATTCAAAATGTATGCTCCAAAATATAAATTTTACACATCTAGAATTGAATTTAAATTCAGCAAAAGCACGGAAGTGTTTGATAAAATATTAAGAAGCCTATATAACAATCTTGGGGTTGCTTTAGTTATGGGTAATTCAGTGTGTGTGTATATATATATATATATATAGACATATATATCGGCGACCATTTCTATTTATCTCAGTGTAGTTTTGTTGTTTGTGTACACAGTGCTGACCTTATCACACGCAATGGCCGAAGCAGGCTGACTAAAAATACGACTAACAGGCTTTAGGTTAGTGTATACAAACGTCCTTATGTGTGTAAGTCTAGCTGCTCGTTTAACAGGCTGGCTACGTTGTTTTGGTCCTGTCTCTTATGTTCTAACTATACTTTCGAATCAGAACCTGCGCAGAGATTTAGCTGTTCTTAGAGATATTGCAGAGTCTTTGATATCTTTAGAGGCTCTGTTTTGGAGCATACATTTATTATATTAAGACAGTTTAATATTATGTGGCTAACTGCTATCATAACGGATTAAACATCACACGTTTTGTCGCATTGGAGTGAAATGTCATAATAACGCCTATATTGCATTTGTAAACATTATATTGAACCCAACAATATGAAGTTTAAGACAGTGAACCGCTTTAAAACCAGCACTGTATATACGCATTTATTTTTGTGGTGATCTTAACGTTTTATCACTCACACCATTCAAAACACGCCTCACAAGCACTGTCGGACAGATCAAGCATCGGCCCTTGAACCCGAAAAAATATGGCACCAACCACATCAAATATTTTTTAAATTACGATCTTTATCAACGATCAGATTTATAACAAAATCAATGTGAGACAGGTATCATGAAACCGATAAAAACACTGAAACAAATGTCAGGAAACCAAAAATGAAGCGAACACACTTGTCCCATGGGTTCTCAAATTCTTGGATAGGGGCTTAATTAAAATTTTCACCGAAAAAGGGATAAAAAGTTTTTAATAAAATGATAAAACCATTTAAATTTAATCAAAATAATGAAACAAAATCACAATGTAAATAATGTTAATGCTATAAAAAATTACAATCTTACAAAATGTCTACAGACTGATACAAAGCCCAATTAAAAGTATTTTTGGTGAAGACGTAAAACGAAAACATTCATGCAATAATGTGAACAAAGAACACAGTTTTTTGTGTTTTTTTCTGGGCCCCTGGAATCGGGCCCAGTGGATAATCCTACTTTGTTGACAAGAGTTTAATAACATTCTGAAGCACATGAAGCCTCTTTTCAAATTTGATTGTCTAATTTCATCAGTTTAATTACGAAATATAGTTACGAAGTTTAACGATCCAATCAAGTGTTTTTTGTTTTTTTTCATAACGCTTTGATTTTATTTATTTACAATAATAAAGTTGCAATTATTTCCGGAAATATTTCACTCAGTGCTTCTTATCGATTGGATAGTTTGAAAAATCCGATATTTTGTTACATATAAGGAAATCTTGAGAAACGGATATGTTGACAAGTCGAATGTTTTACATAGTCACCGCAAAAATAATGATGGAGCCACTTGTGATGTGCGCTGTTACAAGATTGGTTGAGAAGCGGGCGCCACAAGCGTTCAAGTAAGCGACATACTTTAGACCTATACTCCTGTATAGTATCTGTAAGATACTCACAAGCCAAATCTGATTTTATCATGGACGTTATAACATACTCAATATACTAAACAATCTAGTGTGTTTTAGTATGTTCTAATAATATCAACAGTTTGACTTTAGTAACTTCACTAGGTGTCAGTGTGGTAGAAAACGTTACAGCCCGAGGGAGTATTATTGTTAACTCGGCATCACCAGTCTAATACACGTCACAGGAAACGTAACGAATCGAATGGCTTCACCTGTGTGAGTAAGGCGGCAGCAAGACAGGTAAACAGGACAGTGCTCATAGAAACAAAGAGAAACTTACGAAGAATTTGGAATAAGGTATTATAATTTAAGTTAATTTACTATAATATTTTTATACACTTTTTCCGCTTCAAGCAAGTTCAAAGGGTTTTGTTTCCTTGCTGGGACCCTGTGAAGACAGGTGACAGGCAGGTTTGTGGGCAGCACGTTTTATAGCAGATGCAGTGAGGGCGGTGGCTCACATTAGTGCCTCGTTGTTGACGAAGTTGTTCACCAAATTTTTTTCTCCAAGACAAACAAAATACACAATCATATTTTCAGTAAATGTGTGGATTACGATAGATCTATTTGTTAAGTTTACACTACAGTATTTCTATAGGACAATGAAGAAATCAAATTGCTCTTTAGATTTTAAGCTTGGAATCTGAAAGCTCTGTTGGACAGTAATTCTTAACGTAAGGCAAAAATGTTTATTAAAAATATAATCAGAGCTGAATGTTCCATGTTAGAGTATTTCTGGACGGTGGTAAATGTTTTAATATGTTCTTTAAATTTCAAATGGAAACTGAAGTCCCTAAGCTTTAATATTCTTGGCGAACGTTAAAACTACTTGTTAATTTATACTTGGTGTAGGATAATAACCACAATGAGAACATTAAGAAAGCGTTCAACTTCCAGCAGTGAGTTATCATAGGTTAAAGGTACTCCAAAATAATAAATTCAAGTATTAATCTTCCATTAAGAAAGCGTTTAACTTCCAGCAGTGAGTTATCATGGATTAAAGGTACTCCAAAATAATAAATTCAAGTACTAATCTTCCATTAAGAAAGCGTTCAACTTCCAGCAGTGAGTTATCATAGGTTAAAGGTACTCCAAAATAATAAATTCAAGTATTAAGCTTCCATTAAGAAAGGGTTCATCTTCCAGTAGTGAGTTATCATAGGTTAAAGGTACTCCAAAATAATAAATTCAAGTATTAAGCTTCCATTAAGAAAGCGTTCAACTTCCAGCAGTGAGTTATCATAGGTTAAAGGTACTCCAAAATAATAAATTCAAGTATTAGTTTCCATATATTTCTGGAAGCTTGCTCTTATACTAAGAAAAATGGTGTGTTTGGAGGATCATGATGGCCAAACTTATATTTGGTTGTAGATTATTGTTATCTTTAAAGAAATATGAAGTTTGAATTTTTTTAGCAGATGTTGATCACAGATGTTTTATGTATTTATTATGGTTTAGAACCAATGTGGTTGTTGGATGTAAAGTTATTATTTCGATATAATACTGAAAGTTGTTAAACATCTGAAAACTTTTTCACCTACTCGTTTAAAATAAATTAACTCTTCGGCGAAAGAGCCAAAACTCTTATCACATGACATAAAAATCAGTGTACTTATGACATGACTTATATGAATCAGTGTACTTATCATAAGAATCAGTTTACTTATCATACAACTTATAAGAATTCATGAAATAAGCATTCAACTTGTAAGAATTCATGAAATAAGCATTCAACTTGTAAGAATTAGTGCATTTATACAACCCATAAGAATCAGTGTACTTATCACAAAACTTATAAGAATCAGTGTACTTATACAGCCTAGAAAAATCAGTGTACTTATCACAAAACTTATAAGAATCAGTGTACTTATACAGCTTATAAAAATCAGAGAACTTATCACAAAACTTTTAAGAATCAGTGTACGTATCATACATTTTTTTAAATAGATAACCTAACAGACGTTTTATGATGTCTGAAAACTTTTTTATTTTAATCATAATTAAACGTCATTAATACTCTATGTATTGTTGTTTTACTTTTAGTCAAACGTTTAGTAGCCAACTTAGACATAAATGTATATAGGTTTATGTCTGTTATTATCAACTAGAATTAAGCGTATTTTAGTAATATTACAAATGTCTTGAGCTTACTTGAAGGGATGTTATTCAAAATTCTCATAACACTCACGACACAGGCTAGAGAATATGAATGCTAAATCACACAGTTTATAAAATGTGAAAAAACTTAAGTTTTAATGGTTAATGTTAAGTATATCACATCAGAAGAAACTTCCAACTCTGGCAAAGCTCTTGAAAGTTTATCTTTTAAATATTAAGTTTTCAATTTTAGTAATCGTTATTTTATCATAAGTGAGGCAGAAGGATGATTGAAAAAATATCAAAATCACATCAGTAGTCTAGGACAGTGACTCCTGAACCTTTTTTGTCTGTGAACCACCTGAATATGGGATGGAAGACACGGCGAACCACATTATAATTTAATAAAACAGAATAAGCTTATAAATGGCTTTGGTATTACGACGAAAAGTCCTTGTCGGCACTGGATATGGCAGATGTAGTGTGGTTGACATGTTATATCACACACGTCTTTTCTTTCACTCATGAGGACTTAGGATTAATCTTTCTTCCGTATTTGGACTTCAGGGCCACAAATGATGGAAATCTCGTCTCACAAATGGCACCAGAAAACGAAATGCTTTGTCTGCAAGTTCTGAGTACTCTTCAATTTTCTCAGTCCAAACTCTTAAAGTGGATTTTTTTTAACACTGACCTTAATGTTCCGTTGCAAAGAAAGCCCTCTTACTCTTTCGTAAAGAAGCCAGCAGGCAAATCATTATTTTACAAAGAGTTAAAACTCCCAAGTAAAGAATACATTTTCCCATTTTAACCCAAAAGCCATATAACGTAGAGATTTAATCTTTTCGTCTTAATTTAATTTTCCTGCATTTTTAAGGCCTCAAGTGTCGGGTTTTCTCTGGGATATACAAATTCTTTCTGTAATTATAAAACCTTTCCTGGAACCACCTAAAAGGAGCTCGCGGACCGCAGTTTGAGAGGCTCTGGTCTTAAGAAGTGATAAAAAAAAACCTCTAAAATACAGTAATACCCGTTTAGCGCTTAGGAAGGGTTCCTGAGAACAGAGCTCTAAACGAATCAGCTCTAAAAAGGGTCATTTTAACATTACCTATATGGAGATATGTAACTGAACGGCGTTGTTTCTTACCTGTGAATGATGTGTAAGTGCTTTATTTAGGTACTGATAAATTTAACGTAAATTACTTACTATAATATCGTCATCGCTGGTAAAAAGCTAATTTTTATTAGCCTTCAATCTTGTTTGGTTACAGAGCCATCACATAGAAAATCAGACCCCTCCTGCCACGCCCACCTGTCACATCTTCTCTTTCAGGATTTGTCAATACACGTAGTCATATTATATTGCGGTGTTTTCTGTACAAAGATTTGTAGATCGCTTCCTAAGAAAATGTTGTTTTCCCATGGGAACGTGTGTATGTGTGTTTTTCTGATAGCAAGGCCACATCGGGTTATCTGCTGGGTCCTGATTTTAGCGTTGCAAGTCCGTAGACTTACCGCTGACTCATCGGGGGACCCCATAGGAATGATATTGTGTAGATGGGTGACATTTTGTTCCTTTGGTTGTTTGAAGCAAGGCACAAAGCTACACAATGGGCTATCTGTGCTCTGCCCACCACGGATATCGAAACCCGGTTTCTAGCGTTGTAAGTCCGCAGACATATCGCTGTGCCACTGGGGTGGGGGGGGGGGGCACGGTGAAACATATAATCTCTCAAGGAGACAAGAGAGCTGTATAGCGAATCAGCTTAAAGTGGGGAGTTGCTAAGCGGGATCTTACTGTATTGTGTACATAATGTGCCTATTTCATTAAATACTTGCCCCCTTGTGGCACAGCAGTACGTCTGCGGGATTACAACGCTAGAAACCGGGTTTCGATACCCGTAGTGAGCAGAGCACGGAGAGCTCATTGTGTAGGTTTGTGCTTAACTTCAAACAAACAAACAATCGTTACATACTTTTTAGTTTTTAAGCCTAAAGTCTCTCTATAATAGTACTGTCTTTACCTACACCGAATTTCTTAAGCCGAAAACCTCTCTCTATTACTACTTTTTTACGTACTCTGAGTTTCTTAGGCTGGAAGCTTCTCCCTTCTACTACTATCTTTACGTACTCTGAGTTTCTTAAGCCTCTTCCTATGAAAGTTTCTGAACGATGAACGAAACCAAGGACCGTGAAACATATCGCTTCTCGTGCACCCCGAAGATTAGAAACGTGACACTACTGAATAAAGAATTATGTAGAGGTTCCAAACGTCACCAATATTTAATTAAGCAACAAAACAGGCTACATTATTAACTTAGATATGTGCACGAGACGGTGCCACGTGATTAAGTCTTTTTTACCTGAACAACCTCTTGCTAAAATTAAATGACTGTGTCTCCTAACATTATATCTCGTTCTTGCAAAGATATCGATATAAAATACAGTTTATATAGCTTTTTACGCTATTGGTTATAGTTACAACATCGTGTATTCGAAACTCGACAACTATAAAACGTCACCAAGTGCCTAGCGGCCGATTGCACAACTTCTTAAAGAGATTTATAAATTGTCGTTTTTTGTTTTTTTAACAAAGTATTAACCTTGTAGGCGTATAGTTTATATACTATGATTTTAGGTAGCGACCAGTCTCTAGGACGAGAAGTCGTCCAACGAGCAAAATTAAGAATATAATTTCAGTACAACCAAAATATGTTTATCTGCAACAGAGAAAACGGAAAACATCTTTGTTCTTTACCATTTAATATAGTATTCTATGTTTTTCTGTTGTAACCTTGTTTATTGTTTACAAGCATCGAAGTCTATCAGTACTTTGACTGTAGATGCTTCAGCGCTAAGGGCATTGAGCAGTATTCCCAATATGATTGAGTTAAATAGTAATTTCAAAGTCTCGCGGAAATCAGACTTCATTTCCGGAACGATTGGGAATGATAATTCTTTTAACTCTATCCGGACTGGAGGGATATCATTAATATCCCTCGAGTTTTTCCCTCTCACATCGGCGACATCAACTTGCATGAAACTTCAGATAAACTTTCTAAATAGTATGTAGTTTTGGCTTTAAAATACAACAACTATTTTATATGTCTAGTCAGTATCGATTAGATTGACATTTTTGAACACATTTATTATGATATTTTATTTTGCTGATTACAGTAGTCACTGCTTGTCATTTCTTG